GCAAGCATGCGAGCTTCCATCATCAGAGACAACATCGAGGAGATGGGGGTGTGTTTTCTCCACGCCCTCCCGCCCCATGACGCTTCATCGACGGACTCACCTTCAGATCCACGCATCACCGAACTTCTCGACGCCTACAGCGACGTGTTCGAAGGCCCGCACGGGGTAGTACCGGATCGACCCATCCGCCACGAGATCATCCTCGAGGACGGGGCCGTACCTCCGCGCGGTTGCATCTACCGAATGAGCGAGGAAGAGTCAAGTGTGCTTCGGGCACAACTCAAAGACCTTCTAGAGAAAGGATGGATTCGGCCTCGCTCATCACCATACTGTGCTCCTGTTCTCTTCGTCCGGAAGAAGAACAAGGACCTGCAGTTGTGCATCGATTATCGCAAGCTCAACGCGCAGACGATCAGGAACACCGGCCCTCTCCCACGCATCGACGACCTTCTCGAGTGATTGGGCCGCGCTCAGTTCTTCTCTAAGCTGGATCTCAAGTCAGGGTACCACCAACTCGAGATTCGCAAGGAGGATCGCTACAAGACCGCGTTCAAGACACGGTATGGGCATTTCAAATGGCTGGTCATGCCATTTGGCCTTACGAATGCCCCAGCCACTTCCCAAGCGGCTATGACGACGGAGTTCCGACACATGCTGGATCGTTTCGTACTTATCTACCTCGACGACATTCTAGTTTACAGCCAGAGTCTGGACGAGCATGTGGAACACCTGCGCACCGTTTTGGAGCGGCTACGACAGGCCAAGTACAAAGCAAACCGCGACAAGTGCGAGTTCGCACAGCAGGAGCTGGAGTACTTGGGACACTATGTGAYGYCGCCAGGCATCCGTCCGCTTGCGGACAAGATCGAGGCCCTACCAGTATGGCCCGAGCCCACCAACACCACGGACATTCGTTCATTCATGGGATTGGCGGGCTACTATCAGCGATTCATCACCGGATACTCCAGGATTGTTGCACCTATGACGAGGTTACCGTCGCCAAAGGTGCCATTCGTATTCGATGACGACGCACGCCGGTCATTCCAAGCACTCAAGACGACCATGCTCATGGCACCCGTCCTTAGCATCTATGACCCCACCCTGCCGACGAGAGTGACTACGGACGCTTCCGACTATGGCATTGGGGCAGTCTTGGAACAACACGACGGCGACGACTGGCACCCTGTGGAGTATTTCAGCCACAAAGTGCCTCCCATCAACTCGCTTGATGATGCAAGGAAGAAGGAGCTGCTCGCATTCGTGATGGCTCTCAAGCGCTGGCGGCACTTCCTCCTTGGGCGTCGTAGGTTCACATTGGTCACAGAAAACAATCCATTGACCTACTACAAGACGCACGGTGAGCAGCACGATCGGACGATGGATGTACTTCATCGACCAATTTGACTTCACACAGAAACATGTCCCCGGCCTCTCCAATCGCGCAGCAGATGCACTCTCGTGAAGACCTGATCTTTGCGCGATGACACATCATGCCTTCGCATTCGACGAGGAGCTTCAACGACACTTCATCCGGGCATATCAGTCTGATCCGGACTTCGGCATGCTCTATGCACAGCTATCTTCGGATCACCCGCCGGCCATCCATTACCGCATTGCCGACGGGTACTTGCTCCTCCACTCGAGAGGCAAGGACTTACTATGTGTCCCGCGCTACCGTCGTCTTCGGACTCGCCTCCTCGGCGAGTATCATGATTCACAACTCACCGGCCATTTCGGAGTCAACCGCACTATTGCACGGCTTCGACAGCGATTCCGATGGCCCGACCTCATTACCAACGTCACTCGGTATTGCGACTCTTGCGAAGTTTGCCGACGCAGCAAGCCCCGCAACCGCAATCCCTACGGCGAGTTACATCCGATGCCTATCCCACGGGAACCCGGTCTCTCCATTGCCATTGACGTCACCGGTCCGTTTCCTCGCGACCGGCTCGGGCACGACGGCATCCTCACGGTTGTGGACCGATTGAGTAAGTACG